GTAGAGAGAGAGAAGAGAGAGAGAGAGAGGGAGGGAGGGGAAGAGACCAAGAAAAACAGACAGAGACAGAGAGATGTCTAAACTTTCTACAGCCAGGTTAAGATACTACTTACAAACGACTCAAATAAAAACATATCGAGATGATGAGATATCATTTTTTACGTAATAAGTTTATAGATGGATCGCATAGATGACATTGACGTACGGAAACATGCGTCTGCTTCGTGCAGACGGCAGTCTGTAGTGCAGGACACAAACGCAGCAGAATGGCCTATTAATACTCATCCAATTTATTAAAGAAATAGCTCCAAACGATTTGTAGATATCTATACTAATATTCTAGAAGCAATTTATTGAATGTAGCTATCTTTAAGCTGTAATAAAATAAGGTTGAAACAATGCAATCGTTAAACATAATGAAAACTAGCATATTAAATTACCGATATGCCAAAGATCATGTTGTCTTGCAACACTGTCTGCAGTCTTGTTAACATAGTGTATTTGCCTACTAAATAAGGAACATTTTGACATAATATCATAGCATACTCATGCAGACCAGATAATTTTTGATATATCGGTCATTTAATTTTCAGTTTTTAACCATTTCATTGTTTCAACTTTATTTTATTACAACTTAATGATAACCACACTTAATCAATTGTTTTTATAATATTAGTATAGGTACCTACAAATCTTTTGAGCTATTTCTTGAATAAATTCGATGAATATTATTGAAATTATAGCCAAAGCCCAAAGAGTGGTGTAACAAAATCCCCGTTAACCTGCCAGGGGGCACTGTTCACCACCAGGTGGCGCTGTTGAATTGGCACTATATCAGAAAATCTTCAGGATCTATTACAAAGTTTGCAAATGCACAATGTGCCCATTGTTATGTACTTATCCGCTGGATTATAGTCAATATACGGCTACACATATATACGGATGCATGAACAATACTGAATGTTCGCTTGCTTTTAGTAAGGGAGTCATCTCTATTCTGCACCTACGCTATGCTTAATCTCATCATGTTTTGCAACTAGTGCGGTTTAAATTATAGCCGGTTACCAATCAAAGCGCGTGGTGTGTGCCGTTTGACCACGATGTAAACTTGCTAAACGATCCAAACTAAACGCACTGTCAAAATCTACGGGCTGGCAAATTCGCTCGATTAATAACACGGGTTTTGCAAGGGGAAAGTTAGCATATACTGTCGCCGTTGAGACGGCACTAACGGAAGCCATGTTTCCCCCAGCAGAGGGCGCTATCCCCAGAGCGGCGGCCGATAGCAGCGACGCAGCACATGCAACGCCAGCTGGCGGACGAGATCGGTCGGCACGCGTCGGCGGACGAGCTGCGCATTCTGCTGGCGACGGGTGCGCGCGCAGCCGTGCCAGTGCTTCACGGTCTCACGCCGCTACACTACGCAGTGTTCGAGCGCCACGTACCGGCGGCGCGTCTCATGCTCGTGCGCGGCGGTAACGTCAACGCGCTCGATGACGTCGGCTACTCGCCGCTCCATCTGGCGGCCGAAAAAGGTAGAAATGGCGGCGGAAGAGGGTTGTTCGGCTGGGCGCCCGTGGGTTGGTGTTTTGTCGCGACACCTCGCTGATGGGGTCACACCGAGCAGGGAAGCTTCACCATTCTCTTCCTTCTCCCGACACAGCTTCCTTGTATCTATCGACCCCGCTGTTGCTTCGCTACGCCAAACGTTGCTATACTACTTCTTCTATTCTTTGTTTTCGGATTGAAAAGTGAATTTATATTAAAAGCTAATAGAACAATTAATTGATCTATCTCCCCACTGCCTTCTCCATCCATCTATTCATCCATCCATGCATGCATGCATCCATCCACCCATCTATCCACCATTCATCCATCCATCCATCCATCCATCCATCCATCCATCCATCCATCCATCCATCCATCCATCCATCCATCCATCCATCCATCCATCCATCCATCCATCCATCCATCCATCCATCCATCCATCCATCCATCCATCCATCCATCCATCCATCAATGGGTGAAGTAATATGTATAAGGTACAAGAGGAACAAAAAATTCCATGCCATCCATTCCATTCCATCCGATCCATCGCATCGCATCCATCATACATCCATCATCCATCAATCATCCTATCCATCCCCGCCGAAGGAGTCCATCCATCCATCCATACCGGAAATGCGCATGCCATCCATGCGGATCCGCATCGCATGCCATCCATCCATCCATCCAGTCAAATATCATCCAACCACCATCCATCCATCCATCCATCCATCCATCCATCCATCGTCCGTCTCGTTCGTCCGTCCGTCCATCTCAGTCCGTCGTCGCGTCTCGTCGTCCGTCGCGTCGTCCGGTCCGTCGTCAGTCCGTGCGTCGTCGTCCGTCCGTCGTCGTCCGTTCCGGTCGTCGCGCGTCCGTCCGTGGCGTCGCGTCCGTCCGTCCGTCAGCGAGTCCGTCCGTCCGTCGTCCGTCCGTCGTCCATCCATCTTTCATCCATCATCAATCCATCCATGCCATCCATCTGCCCTCCATGCCATCGGCATACCATCCATCATCATGCCGTTTTCCATCCATCATCCATCCATCCATCCAATCGCATCCATCGCATCCATCCATCTCATCCATCATCCCATCGCCATACCATCCATCCATCCATCCATCCATCCATTCATCTCCATTGCATCTAATCCATGGTTCTTACCATCACAATCCACTCATCCATCTACGCATCTGTTCGCTTCGCATCCATCCATTCCATCCATCATCCATCCATGCCATGGCCATCATCCATCCATCCATCCAATCCATCCATCCATCCATCCATCCATGCCATCCATCCTTCCATCCATCGAAAATCGCATCCATTCATCCATCCATCATCCATCCATCCATTCATCATCCATCCATCATCCATCCATCCATGCCATCCATCCCCATCCATCGCATCCATCCGATCCATCCATCCAATCCATCGCCATCCATCCATGCCATCCATCCATCCATCCACCCATCATCCATCCATCCATCCATGCATCCATGGCATCCATCATCCATCCATCCATCCATCCATCCGCATTCATCCATTCATCCATGGTCCATCCATCCATCCTCCATCCATCATTCCATCATCATCCATGCAGTCCATTTCATCATCCATGCTATGCCATCCATCCATCCATTCCATCCTCACTCCATCATCTCAACTGCCATCCATCGATCCATTAACCCGCCCCGCCCCCCCACCCCCCTCATCACCCCGTCCCCGTCCCGCTCGCCGCTCCCGTCCGTCCGCTCATCAATCCGTCCGCCCCGTCCGTCGTCGTCCCGTCATCTGTTCGTCCGTCCGTCGCCGTGCCGTCGTCCGTTCCGTCCCGTCGTCGCGTCCGTCGTCGCTTCCGCTCCGCCTCCCGTCCCCGCATCCCCCGTCCGTCATCGCCTCACTCGCCATCACCCTTCTACCTCCACCTACCTACCTATAGTATAATAGTATTAAAATATATACTACCTCATTATCATCATCTATCGGTACTACATGTCGCAGGCGCTCCCGTATGCTGGGCGCGAGCGTGTGCACGCCGCTACCCGACGTGATCAACTCTGCTGTGTGAGTTCGGCGCCCAGGTGGCTTCCCGCGGCGCGAACCCTCACGACATGTTCCCGCCGAGACGACGGCAGGCCCGAGGGAAGGCCCTACGACTCGCCATCAAACACAACGCACTTCGCCCGTCGCGGAGATACTGCTCAAAGCAGCGGAGCCCACCACCCGAACACGAGGGTAGTGCTGCTGCTCACTGCTATAGCTGTCGCGCGAATCTGGCGTGCATGTGCGGCGTTGGCGAGTGAGCATGGCGCGTCTGTATGTGGGAGGGTTTCTGATTTATATAGCGACCCCTAAGGAAAAGTACACGTAGTTACGCACGCGCTCTGTCGGCGCTGCGCCGTCGCGTGCGTATGTCGCCAGAGCAAGCGGCTCCGTTCATGTTAAGCTCCATTTACATCGTTCATCCTAGCCGATTTCGCGCGCGTCGCATGACTCCTCCATAACGCCAGCACGAAATAACCACGCGCACTCTCACGCCTTATTCTAATTAATTATTATCTATTTATTGCATTATCTATCTATTAATACAAAACACTCGATCGTCACTAATCCTTATATTTAAATTAATTAGTTGTATGGTTTATTAATTAATTAAAACATTAATTAATATATTATTATACATGCGAATGACTCTGCTAGGTAACTTGCTATGCCTTGCTACTCGCGATGGGTTATATTAGTTGTGTCGCGCGCCGCAGGTATTTCATGGGAGCTGAGATCAACATTGCTTGCAGCCGACGCAGTACGTTTCCTCATAGGACATACTGGATACGCTCACCGCGCCCCCCGCACCGCTCGACTCACCCGCTGACGACGGGCCCCACCTCAGCCCCACCGCGCTCATCGACACCGCTGCACACACATCCGCGCGCTCGTCCTCGCACGACGATGATCGCTCCCCCCGCATGCCCCTCCCCCCTCACCCCTCCACCGCCCCAACCGCGCCACCGCTGCAACGCCAGCCGCCGGCCACCCCCCACCCCGCCGCCGTCCCCCCACGCCACCACGGCGCAGCGCCGCTGCACTACGCCGTGCTGGCGCGACGAAGTCGCCGCAAGCGGCTGCTGCTGCAGCGGCGGCGCGCGAGTAAACTGCGGGCGGCGGCTACGACGCGCGCGCCGGCGCTCAGACGTCGCATCTTGCGGCGACGACCTCTCGATGCATCGTCATGCTGATGGAGCGGGCGCCGACGTGAACGCGATGCCGCTCGAGCGTCGGCAACGCCGCTGCACCTCGCTGCGGCGGCGCGGCTGCGCCACCAGGCCGTCATCGGTGCACTACCTGCTCGCGCACGCCGCCGAATCGGCCCGCAACGCGCTGCCGAACACTACGCCGACGGCGCGTCGCTGCAGACGCCGCTCGTCGAGTGCCCTCAACAGCGACGGACGACGATGACGACGCACGCACACGCTCGCGCGCGTCTGCTTGCTGCCCCCTCTGTCACCCCCGCCCGCCGCGCCGCCGTCGCAATCGCCCACACTCGTCTCGCTGACCTCGGCCCGGCGTGCTGCGCGCGCTCGTGCCGACGCGCGGCGCGAGCGGAGGCGCCACCTGGGCAGAGCTGCTGGCGAGCGTCGCCGAGGCGACGGACGTGGGCGTCGTGCGGTGGGCACGGCGGCTGGTGCGCGTGACGAAGCGCGCGCGCACGCTGCTGGAGGCGCATCTGCTGTTTCCGCCGCCGCGCCCGCCTCCACCGCAAGCTCGTGAGGGAGGGCGCTGGGGGGGGGGGGGGGGGGGGGGGGGGGGGGGGGGGGGGGGGGGCGAGGCGACGCCGGCCGTCGCATACTGCGAGCTCGTCGATGCGCTGCCTTGCTGCCCAGCCGACTCAATCGCCGCTTCTGCTGTTCGCGCATATTCAGCTGATGCGCAGGAAGCGTGCTGAGAAATGGAAGCGCTCAGGCCCACAGGCGTTCAATGAACTGTAGAACGGCCATAGAACTGCGTATGCTTTAGAAACGCGCAAGATATTAAAGGAACTGAACCGAACGTTCTAGAACTGCCAACAATGTTATATCGCACTGCACAAATGAGGAACGTGCATACGTTGTACACGAATAGGAGCCGCTAAACGAGATTGTGGACCGTAAAAAGCTACGAAACGATTGAGAAGAGCTGATGAACGTTGAGAGAGGCCACAAACGTTGCGAGGAGAGCTATGACGTGAGATAGACCAATAACGTTGAGAGAGCTATGAACGTTTTGAGAGAGCTATAAACGTTGGATAGCATGACACGTGAGATAGCCATGAACGTTGAGAGAGCTATAAACCGTTGAAATAGCCTGAACGTTTGAAGAGAGCTATGAACGTTGAAGAGCTATACCAACGTTGAGATAGCCATCAGCGTTTGAGACGCTAATGACGTTGAGAATATTATGACGTTGAC